TTTTGTTTTATTTTTATAAATAATTAATATTTTTAAAAAAATTTTTTTTTTAATTTAATTTTATTAAATATAAAATATATTATAATAAGCTTTATTTTTTAATTAAATAATAAAAAATTTAATATTACTTATAAGCTAAAAATTGTAATTTTTAAAAAAAATTTATATTAAAAATTTCATGATTAATCTATTATAAACTTTTTAGAATTTATTTTTAACTATATTAATCATAATAGAATATTATAAAATTATGTATAATAAAAACTTTTATTATTATAATTTTTATAATTTATTAAGAAATTTTATGATTTTAATTAATGATAAAGTGATTTAATTAGATCATAAAGATTTAAATTTTTAAAATAATTTAATTATTATAATAAATTTTTTGAAATTTATTTTATAATTAAATTATTTTAAAAATTTAAATCTTTATTAATAAAGTTGATAAATATACATTAAATTATATTTTTTATATAGTAATAATTAAAGATGGTCTTCATAATTATTTTCTAATTTCAAATGAGTTGCAACTCAATTTCATCATAAAGAAATTTAATTGCAACATAAGTTGCAACTCAATTGCATCATTTTTTTAATTATGGTACCTATCTTTAGTAATAATATTACTAAAATTAATATTTAATTTTTATAAAAAAATTAACAATTTTTTTTGATTTTGCAGCAAATTTGCCTGCTAGACAATCTAAGGAATAATATTTTTAATTGTTTTGTTAGATAAATTCTTCAACAGTAATTAATTATCATGTGAAACTTGAATTAATCATTTTATTCTTATACTTTTAGCATTGATTTCTCTCAGTAAGAAAGTTAAATTAATAGCAAGAGTTTTGTATACAAGGTAATGCATATATAATGAAAATTTTATTCTCAATCCAAAAGAGTTTATGGGAATACTTGAGAGTCATTAAAAGGATTTTTTGATCAATTGGTACTGAAACTAACTCTCCATATGACTCATGAGAAGAATAAAAAATACTTAATTTCATTTTGCTATTTTTTAGTAAGTCTTAATAATAAATTTATTAATGGAATTAAAACAGAAATTAAGCTTTTATTATATTTATCTGAAATATCTTCATAAGTAATTAAAACTTTGGCTAGTGCAGGCTTAATAATAAGATAAAAAACTATTACAAGAAAAAAAGCTTGATATATAGAAGCTCATATAATAACAGTGAGAAGATTTTTATCAGATAATATAGGTATACAAATATTCTAAGTTTTTTTATTGATTATAAATTGACTATATATAACACATAATTTTTAACAGATTGAAAGCTTGATTGTTCTCAATATGAATAATTTTAATAATATTTATGAATATTATTATATTGATATAATGATCACACATAAAGTTTCACATTTTATTATAATACTTTTAAAGGTATTGCTAGAAATACCATCTATTCTGTTTAATAATCCTAATTAAGAAACAAGTATTTATAATGAAAAGGGTATTGATTCAGACATTATTGTAGAGAATACACTTATCTTTCTTTTTTTATTTATAACTTAGTTATATATAACATAAGCAAATATTTACTGAATTAGTATCTATGTCATAAATCCATATGAACAAGTCAAACATCTCTTAATTCACAATTATAATGATAGAATTGAATAACATCGAATTTATCGAAGCATAAAAAATACAAAACTTGTTGATTTAAAAAAAAGAATTCTTTTATTCAACTGATAATTACATAAACGTTCTTATATTTTTGATAGATATACCTAAAATAAAAACTTATATAGAGATATGAGTATTATGATTAAGATTGCTTATCTAAACTCATTTTGGATTTGGCAAAATGTTTAAACCTTTAGTTTCGCTAAATTTTTACTAAGTTTTTGATATAGTTTTACCTTTTTCTGAATTTTGTAGATTTTTTAATAAGGTTTTAATATAATTTAACCAAGTTTTACCTTTACTATTTAGACATCTGTCTAAACTCTGGATTTTGTTCAACAACCTTAATTATGTCACTTATGAATTATTCTGAACAACTTCACATATGATATATTATCACCATCGAATAATTCTATAAATTTTTTTAAATACTGAATCAAATTCTGCACATAATTCTAATGATTAGACCTTTACATAGTTATAAAACTGTATTCATTATCAATTTTTAACTTGCTTTTTCATGAAGTATTTGAAAAGAATAAGATATTAGCAAAAAAGCTAAAATCCTATAAAATTAATTTGATATTAAAGATAGCTTCTCAAGGCTAGTCTCAAGAGTATTTAATAATATTGTGAAAATTCAAATATTTTAAGAATCTAAAAGTCAGTTATCTTATTAATTTACTAGATAACATTCTTCCATTAGTCTTAAATTTTATTCTATTATATTTCATAGTGGAAATTGAAAAGCATATATAGAAGTAATATTTCATGTGTAAACTGTTTTTTATTAATATCAATGCAGATATTATAACAAATTAGCATTGATATTTTTAAGTGATGTTTTTTATTAGACTAGTATTAGCCATTCTATCTTACAATCTCTTACAGATTCTCTTTATATTTTTAATGATTATTTTATAAAAAACTTTTACAATATATTTCAATGGCAAATATAAAAATTAAATATAGCAGTGTAGATTATTCAAGAAATACGAATAATCAATCAAATGCATGATGTCAATTCTATCAATTCTTTTATGAATGTATTTATTGAGAATTATAATAATAGATATTTAGCAAAATAGCTAGAATATCTTAAAAAACATACTGCATTTTTCCTTCTAAATTTCTTTACAGATATCTATTAGAATCTTGGCAAATTAAAAGTCATTTTCAATTTATATTCAAAACTTAAAACATATGAACTCCCAATACTTAGAGTTTAAGTTAATGTAAAAATATAATCGATAGCCCAGATATTATATAACTTAGAGGATTATATAGATTCTTGTGAAATAGGTTATGTTTTGATTTGTAATTATTCTTATCATTTTGATTTTTTTTTATTTAAATTAGAAAGCTGATGCTGATATTATACTAATTATCTCATAAGTAGAATTGAAATAATTGTAATGCTTTTTAGAAAATTTTATACTTATTAGGTATAAAAGTAAAAAATGAAAGCATAGAATAATGTGGATGTTAAAACTGATAATATCAATATTAGTGATGAGAAATTTTATTAGATAGAAATATAGATCATAATAATATAGATATACTTTTTGAGAGAACCATAAATGCTCTAACAAGTATGTAATTTTAAGAAGAATTTTGTTACTAATCAAATATAAAAGTATATAATCATTATAATTTCAATGATTCAATAAATTAATAAACATTTTAATATTTTTATAAATTAATAATAAAAATCAATTTATCACTTCATTAAAGTTCTTTTATTTAGACTAAATCATTCTTCAACTTTTTTTGATTTGATCATTAAGAAATCATGTGATTAATAAACCAATAGAATTTCAGCAATAATAAAAGATTATCTGCAAAAACTAGCCAATCACAATGAAAGCCCGCTATGCTATACATATAAAAAAAAAATTTTCGATCAATATGACCGAACTCAATTTTGATTCTGATCACATGCTGCGATCCAAAATCTGAACAAGCGACTCCTTGTCGCCAAAGTATGGCCTAATATTTAACAATTTAAATATAAAGTAATATAATAATTAGAATTATTATATTATTATACATACCTAAACTGGATCTGATATCATTTGATTGGATGAATGGTTGTGTACCTACCTCCTTCCGTGGATGGCTAGTTATAAAACAAAATGTACTTTCAAAAAATGAATATATTTGTAATAACTATATAGACTAATTGAAAAAAAGTCGCTATTTTTTTAAAAAAAAGGTATGAAAGTTTAAATCTTAACGTTAATATATGTAAATGATCTTAATTAAATATATTTTTTTGTTTTATATATCCATAGTCAAAATTACTCCGTATTATTCATTTTCATGTCACAAAAAGGATACTGGTAAGAATAATAATAATTTATCTGATTTTTTTCATGTGTACATTTGATGCTTGAAGATTTAAAAAAAAAAATTATTTTTATTTTTTTTATATCTACCTAACAGGAGAAGTGTTGTGCATGTTTCTTCCTTCAAAAATTGAACAATTAAGCTTCAAAAAACTTTAATAATATTGTTCTATGATTCTAATTGCTATTATTCTCATAACAACAATGGATCTTAGCTAGTATCTATATGCTTCATTTATAAAGATGACCTTTCTTAAATTTTATTTTGATGACCAAATTGAAGCGATCTGTTGATAGTTTATGTGTTGGTAAGTATCGTTGCTGCTATGCATTCAAAATACATCGTCATTCACTTCGTTAATATCATCAAAATCACGAGAAGATACTTATCTAGGTGATTAATTTTTTTAGATATTTGGTTGAAATCAATTTGTCAACTTCTCCGGAGGTAGATCCAATATTCAAGCTTAATGTAAAACTTTTAAGACGGAAAAATTGACGATGATGTTAAGGGGAAATAAGGATTATGTGCTTACCCCATTGATATTGCATCCGTAAGCTCTTAAGCATGTTCATTTTTATGTTTCTTTTTCAAATGGTTATATTATATATAAAATCGCTTTCTCTCTTCCCATTGAAGGTTTTAGGATAAATATAATTTCTTGAGAAACTTTAATGAAGACGAGTCTCTTTCTAATGTATCGTTTTTACAATCCCAAACTAATATTTGAACGAGGAAGAATTGGTAAATTTTTTATTTTCTCAATTTAATTTCATGTCCATTTATAATTTATTGACTTTATATTTTAATCATTCATTTACAGCGACTTTGCGATTGCATATGACGTAGCTTTTTTTAATTCAAATGAAATAATGAAAAAATTTCCGATACTTTAAACATGTGACAAACATTACCCTTGAATATGTTCTTAATTATAGCAGTCTTATAATTTTTATATTTGAAAATTAAGATTTTCCGTTGGAACAGTACTACGTCAATGGATCAAGGATGGAATGTCATAACATTTGAAATTGAAGCTGCTGATGAAGAGGGTATTCCTCCAGAATTATATCACATTTTGATAGTTCACATCGCAATAGAATCGAATAAAGAACGCAAACCTCTTATCGTCAAGCTCCAAAAACTAGTCGAGATCATCTTATGATACAGTTAAGTATTATAAGAACATTTTTCGCGATTGGAATTGTTGAAAAAAGGATTTGGGAAGGATTCGAAGACTAGTTATTGATTCTCGTCGTTAGATTATATATAAAATATTGATCGTAATTTATAATGTGATTTATTGTACTAAAACATAAGTATGACATACATCACGCGTATTACCATAGAAATTACGATAGAAAAGAAAAGAAAGAAAAAAAAAACTCTTCTTAATATATTAAATTAAATGTGTCTTACCTGAGGATACTCTTATGTCATGAAACTAAAAATATATTTATAAACACTTTAGAATTTAATGAAAAGTCAGAAAATTTTTTTCGAATTAAGGAATGACGTGTCGTTTAAAATACGGGTATATTACACAAAATCCGCAGATTTTGAAATTAATAGTATTATTTTTAAAAAAAAATCGTTATCTGATGAATAATTGACTAGCTCGTATTATATTCGTTTTTCCCACCTGTCTTTGAAGCGCCTCAAGGTGTAAAATTAATCGTTATATCTTTTTTGTAAAATTTTATTTATTATATATTTTGTATACTAAAAAAAAAAAACTTCAACACTGGTTGGTCTACAGTACTTCAAAAATATTAAACACGTGAAAAAAAACGATACACAGCTCATTGGTGCGAAAAATTATGTTCTATGATACATAGATAATTTGAAATGTTATGGATACGTAAGTGTTAATAACATTCCATCTACCGATTTTAATGACACGTTTATATTACCATTCATGCTTCTCATCGTGGACGATTTCGTGCGTTTATTTAACCTTTTGCCAAAAGTACGATCTTTACGATTTGTCACATCGAGACGATGCATTATCTATTTAATTGAATTTGTCATGACTAGACGAGTCTAAGCAATTTGTTTACCGTAAACAAATTAAAACTACAATTAGATTTATGAGGATTAAATTTTTTTTTTTGCAAAATTTGTGTAAAACTTTATTCAACTTTTTAACTATTTGGTTTTATCTTGCAAGCCAATAAAAATTACAAATGTTTTTTATAAAATAATACAAAAATGCATAAACGAATATACTAGTCGATCAACTAGTCGATCATCTATCTCTAGAAAATTTGGGACGATGATAACCATGTTGTTTAAAAAAAAGACCACATCGATTACATAATTTTCCACCTACAGGTCCTCTCCAACATGGAGTTTCGGTTGTTCCACAATCCTGACATTTTTGTCCAACACTAATTCTACCAGATCTCGCCAAACGAATCTCTCCGTCCGAACCAATTTCAACAGGTCGAGAACGTCCTTTAATCTTGAGACTGTGAATGATTTAATAAAGATTAATTTATTATATATATATAAAAAAAATATATATATATTAAATAATCCAAAAATCTATACTTACTATAATCCACATGCATTACAAAGCAAAGCATCGCCTTGAAGATCTCTTCTCCAAGCAGGAGTTTCTCTCACGCCACAATTTGAACAACGATAAAGCTCTCCAGATCTGGTCGTTGATTCATTTACTGAGTATATCATGGCTTTAATATTTCTACGTCGCCTCCTTTTAGACTGAACATTCGTTTGATTATATATTGTCTTTTCTTCGGTAGATCTTGGATTTTGTTCATGTTGATGCGGAGTTTGCGGTTGTGACGGGGTGTAAACGGATGAAGGAAGAATCCAAGGTGCCTGTGGGTAAAAATCATTATTTGGCAGAGCCAAATAGTATTGAATAGGGTTAATCGATGTAGACGGATAGTTAGAGGTTGATTGAATTGGTGACAGATTAGGTCGAGCGTTTTGACATTGTAAGCACAATGGATTTGTACATCGAGTTTCCGCTGTCGCCATTGGTTCCAATAGTTTAACACGCGTAATTTTGGAGCTTAAAGTATGGTTATAGATTTCTTTCTTGTCATCTTGCGAATTTAATAGATAGCTTGAATTCTTTTCTCGTTCTTCTTTTTTAATATGAATGTTATCGTTAACAACCGAAAATTTCTTCTCGCTTCCGTTATTATCCTCATTATCATTAATTAATTTATGACACATATTATCTTCCGTACTTGCTGTCGGAATAGAAGTTTGTGCGTTAAAATGATGCGCGCTTCCTAATGGATTCGATTTCGTTTTATCTTCTTCTCTTGAAATGGGTCCATTTATTGATTTTTGTGATTCAGTTGGAGAGGAATGTTGAATTATATTGCAAATTTTGTGAAGTGACAGAAAATTGTTAGATGGTGTAATTGGAGTAAGTATTATCTCGTTCAAGGAATTGCAATCAACGTTGTCATCACGCTTTTCTTTCTCTTGAAGAGGAGATTTGGGAGGTATGTCAAATAAAGAATTTTCTGGAGACTTGGAATTTGTCGACATTACTAATGAAATAATAATCGATAAAAACTTTTATCACCTGAATACTATTTTGCGGTTAATACAAAGGTAGGAAAGATTGTTATACTTACTTTTGATTCTAAACTATGAGATCGATGTGAAAGAAATCATCAAATGAAGTATGACGTTAAAAGATTTTACGAAAACGCGAAAAACGAAAAATTTATTGATAAAAGGTATCAAAATAAAAATAAAAAATAATTAATTAATTATATTGATAAAAAGATTTCAAGTCTTTTTAATAAATTATTTTTGATGAACCATATTTTTATTATTTTTTTTTAAAAAAAAAATAATTAAATTGATCAAATAATTAATCACCTACTTTGTTTTTGTTTTTTTTTGTTTTACTTTTTACTTAGACAACCTCGGTTACCAAAATAAAAACTTGTTAAATGATTTTGATTTTTTACTTATTGAATATATATCTCTTTAAGGAAAAAGAGAAAACAGAAAAAATAATGAAATTTCACATTTATATACGGTAGATGTTACATGATCATGACGCAAAATCAAAATTTTCTTATTATTGATTTATAATCAATCAAGTTACGAATACTTTAAAAAGTATTATTATACATGAGCTCATGCACGCGTGTCTGAATTTGAATTGTTCATTGAGTATGCGCCGTAATTGTCAAAGATGGGGCTTCATCAAATAGAATCGCTCCAACTCATGGCGCTTTTCAATTGACAAAGCCCCATAACTGCAATCTTTTATGTCGTCTTTTTTCATTTCATTTTCATTTTTTCATTTTAATTTAGAACTTAACAAAAAAGAATATTAAATAATGAGAAACAAACGGACTTTTCAAAGTAGTACAAGATCACGTGATTTACATTTATGTTATTTCACTTTCAAAATTCGCGACTGCAATTGTTTACGATAAAAGAAGTTCTCAGAAGGTTGGTTCTCTTGATAAGAATTTTCAAATAAATTTTCTGCACAAAATGTTTAGATCTAAAGATTTAAAATCATTTTTTTTTGGGCCGTCAATTACAGAATTACTTGGTGTAGACAAAGTTAATTAAATACATTTAAGGCTACCTTCTTAACATGCAAGGTGCTGATATATTACGTTCAATTTTAACTATTGATGTCATTCATTAAAAATATTTATAAATACAGATTATTCGGTAAAATAATATAATAAAATCAGCTCCTTGATTTAATGAACCTTTCTCATTTAAAACAATACCAATCAAATTCTAAAGCATTTTGAGCCCCGATTGTTGCATCCCGTGACAATTACTTGTAGAGTTCAGTATTTAATCCGAAGGTTAAACCTTTTGGTATTTAATTGCAATCTAATCCTGCAAATTTTTCGAAAGTTCATATTTGTAATAGCTAGTTAAGATAAAAATGAAACGAATAAGAACTACATTCTGTATTTATGTAGTATAAAATTTATAATTTATAACCATGCGGCATTCAAGAAAGACGAAAGAGAAGCAGTAATGAGTCAGTATCAAGATGAAGTTTATATTGACTGTCAGTTGGGATAAATAAAAAGAATTTAGGTGGCTGAAGATTGGCCACGCCTCAATTGCGTCTCGAGCATATGCATTTTATTGATTAAAATAAATTTTGGCATAATCACGATTCGGAAAATATTTTTTTTATTTATTTAACATCTTTGTTCCACGAGTGCACGAGTGGCGATCATTTATCATGTGGGATTTTGTTTATTAAATTTGTTCAATAATTTTATTATAAGGTCTATAGTTGTGCTTTTATAAAAATCGAAAATTGATTAATATTTATAATGTCGTCAGAATAATTTATTTACAGTTGATCCTCACTATAACGTATCTTCATTTTTGGAGGTCACAATTCGTTATAATGAGGAAATTCGGTAACGTCTTACCGAATTTTAACAATTTATTCGTTATACAGTGATACCAAATATCATATCCAATCAGATTTCAATAATAAATATCTCAAGAAAAATGTTGATTTTAAAGCAATATTATTATTATTTAATAAATCAATTATTAATTTTAAAATATTAATAAACTACATTATCCAAAATTTTATTCTCTTTCTAACAAATATTTAAACATAACAAATGGATAAAAATTGAGTAAGTTTTATTAGAGACAAAAGTGTCTTTGAATTCATGAAAATTGCGCAAAAAAATACATATTTTACCATCACACCTATAAACTCTGCTTTATTATATAGTTTTTCCATTTGTTTTGATAAACACATTCTTATTTATTCAAAATATCTCAAATAAACATTAACAATAAATAACAGCAAATATTATATATCATGTATATTATACATTTTTCACAATTAAAATTTTCGTAATTTTAAATTTACGCAGTTTTCGCAGTTTTACAATTGAAATTTTAAATTTGAATTATAGAAATTAAATAAATTAAATCAACTAATTAATCATCATTAATTCAATACTGATTAATTCTAGGTTTAATACTAATTAATTTGAAGTTCAACACTAATTAATTCCTATAAAATTTATTAAATAATTTTACATATTTTATTATATTTTTATAAATATTTAAATTATTAATTTATACTTTATTAAAATTTATAATATAACATTTCCTTTAATAGTAATATAAGAAAATAAATTCGTTATATCTTTTAATTTAATATAAAAAATTCGTTATATAAAAAAACTTATTAACAAAAGTCCTATTTATTATACTTGATACAGGATTTTTAATTTACTATACATAATAATAAGTTTTATTATAAAAATTTGCTATATTCAATTATTTTATTTAATAAAATTTGGAATCACTCATGAAATTCATAATAACAAAAAATTCAGAATATAGAAATTCATTATAGTGAAATTTAATTATATTAATCTTTTAAAATTTATAAAAAATAGTAGCTATATTAAATTTTAATACATCCTACACTATTTAACCAAAAGTTAGAGACATTTAATTTAACTTAATATTATTTTTTTAATCTTTAATTTTAATTAATATAAATTTATATGTATATGTGATTATTTTATCATATATTAAAATATTAAGTAATATTATTATATATTTTGAGTAATTAATTCAAATTAGATGTTTTTTACTTTTGGTCAAATAGAATATATTAAATATTTTTTTATTGTAATATTATCATTAATAAAAAAAACTTTAAAATAATAATAAATACAATAAGAAAAGAAACTATTTATTAATGTTAAAAATATCATATATATTAAAAATTAAAAATATTTAATAAAATATTTAAGAATATATGTTTTTAAATTTCTTAAATTTTATATCAAAATTATATCTCATAAACATATTTAATAATTTGTTAATCTTGATGTCATATATTAGTTTAAAATAATTCTATTATAATTTTTGATTACAAATATTATTAAATAGGTATACATAATAATATAATTCTAAACTTTCAAAAAAAAAAAGAATTTGTTATTAAAATCTGATAATACATTTATTTTGTTGAATCTTTGCTTATATAAATTTATAATATTTAAAATTCATTATGTAATTTTTTATGTACAATATTATTTAATAAAGCTATTTAAAATACCAAAATTAATAAACCAAATTTTAAAAAAATTTATATTAAAATTAATAATATTGTTAGAAATGCTAAATTTGATAAAAATAATATTGAAAAAGTCAAGTTATATGATAAAATATCAGTAATACTTAATAAAATTAAAATCTAAAATCAATAAAATTGGTTTAGATAATGAAACTTAGTTTGACAAATATCATAGATAAAATTAGTATAATTAATTAAAAATAATAAAATTATTTTAAAAAGTATTACTGTATATTACGGGCTTAGTATCCTTATATATTGTATCCCCCTTTTTTACCTGAAAAAAGTTACATTTTCTATTGCTTTTATTAATTAGAAATTTAATTTTAACCAGAAATTATGCATTAAACAATTTTCTGATAGTTATACAAGTCTTTAACACATTCTATTTCTGTATTTATAAAAGTTATAGACTTGGTAATACAAGATCAATCATCTGAAATTTGCAAAATACTTGGGATACTATAGCCCGCAATATACGGTATTATTGGATTTATTTATAATAAAACTTTAATTAATATTTAAAATTTTATAATAAAATTCTATTTTTATCTTATATTGTAATTTAATCTTTTATATATAAATTATTAATAATAATTTTATTGATTTTAATTACTTTAATTTAAAGATTATAGTTTTATATTTAAATTTAATTATTAATTATTTAAAAAAAATAATTTTCTAAAAAAATTTGAATTTATATAAATTAAAAAATCATATTTAATACATAAAATAAATTTTAATTCTTTTGTAATTTCATTCATTTTACTATAAAATGCTTTTATTATCTAATAAAATACTAAATTATAGCTATTTCATAATTCTTAAACCATTAATAATTTTTTAATAAAATTTAATTACATTCAGTTGCAATATTATATATAACTTTCAGAAAATACTTTAATTTATGAAAATGGAATTTTGAATTTAAGTATAATTACATTCTTAATTTTTCTTAACAATCCTTTTGATCCTTTTGATTTGTCTAGAATTAATTTCTCTTAGACTTAGAGAGGAATGAAAAAAATTCTTAAATAAAATTTTATGATTTATTTTATTTAAATCAAAGATCAACTATAATCAAGCTGATGTACCCGTTTCATCCTTTTTGTATTTGTTTATATTGCAATTTAAAATATTGCGAGTCCGTAATTCCGATAGATCACGACTTTGTCAGAAAATTTTTTGATTTTTTACTTTCAGATACGCGTACACTTTAAAGTTTCAAAAGCATACTAAAAATTCCATCAGGAACTGCTAATGAAACAGTATCATCGTAATACAATATTTTTTTTTTAAATATATTTCGATTTAAGACTATACATACTCAGAGTATGTTTCATTTTATGAGTCTCCGCTTTTAAGTTTTCAAAAATGCTATTGTATTGTATTTGGATATTTGGAACAATTGGACACGTACGCGTTAACAAACCAGTTTCTAGGGAGACAAACAGGAAGGTAATATTTACAATTTACGTACGGGATCTTAAAAATCCGCAAAGTTTTCGTAATGTATAAATACTAAGGTAATTGGAACATGTCTGTCTCCCTCTATATTTAATTTTCAGATAACAAAACCTTTATAACAATAATTAAACTTTTATCGTTAAATTGTCATTTTCATCGTTCTCATTAATAATTTATATTTTCCAATTTTGAAATATTTAATAATGAATGAATTAAAATTTATCTTATATACACCCCAGGATTATCATGATTCCAAAAAACAACATAAAAAAAGAGAGCCCAACATGTTCTTCTCCTTTCGAAAGGAGAAGATGAAGAAAAGGCCGGTTAATGTTCCAATTGCTGATTATATAAAAGATGTGAACAAAATATGGAAAGGAATGTCTGAGGCTGAAAAGTCAGAATGGCAAAGAAAATATCTTAACAATCGAAAAAGAAGGAAATAACAGATCTTTGTAGTTTATTTCTCGATGAATAATTTTCCCTTTTTAAAATTATTCTTTTCTTTTTCTATATCCCAATAACCTAACCTAAAAAAAATTTCCTTTAAATTCAATATTTCAATAGTCTAAACAAATTTTTTTTTTGTATTCATTATAACACGTGATTCGTTACGGAAAATACACCTTTTGTGAAACTTTTTTTTTCATATTAGCAATAGAAGGAGGCAAGGAATCTAATTTACCATATTATATTGATAGAAAATGTCAATTTCCCTTGGCCAAGTTATTGAAAGAAAATTGAATTTTGCATTCTTTAGTTTTATTTTTCTTTCTAGCATTGCCCTTTTTGACCTTTATATATATATAAATTTTATTTTTAATCATTTAATAAATAACTAAAATTTAACGAACAAAAAATTCTTTTCCCTGAAATTTTTACAATAGAAGAAATGTAACGAACTAAAACTAAATTGGCTTGGTCATACTAATTTCATGCATATTACTTTTGTGATCAAGATACTTTGGCTGATCTTTCTTATTCCGATCGACTTCATACATTTTTGATGAAAACAAATAATTTAATCTTTGCATTATTAATAACTAATATTTATTTAAAGTGATTCCATTTACCACCAGACAATTAGAACTTTTTGTGAAAAATTGAAATCATTCTCAATGCATCCAACCAAATGAAACTTTGCATGGAAAATATTTCTTCGGGCACATCCCAAATTCCATTCTTTAAACCAAAACTTTAACAAATATTATGGCATCAAATGATACCCCTTTGAGACGGTAATTTTTTTTTTATTAGCTGAATACGAAACTATATGATAATCTGTTTTTAAACATAAATTTTCGAAATTTTCGAATAAAATATTCAACTACAAAAATTTGTCTTATACCTCATATAAAGACAAAATTTTATGTATTTAATTGATGACGTAAAAGTTGATCGCAACACATTTTTCTAAGAGATGTTTTTAATGTAAAGTATTATTTTTGTGACCAAAATGCTATTTAACAAGATTTATATTACTTTAATTTTCTTATTTTAATTAATAAAGATTGTTGTTAATAAATATATATATCTATATATAGATTTAATGTGAATATTAGTCCTTCCTTTCTAATCAATTCTTCAAATTTGCGCGAAGGACTTTGCGCTAGCTATATACTGTACTAGGGGAAAGTGAGCGTTGAGCAAGTAAGTGTAATGAAAGTCACCAATCATGTATCGACTCAATATTTGAGCGGTTGGACATCCGAATGTCTCGTGTAATAAAGCACAAAAGTATATAGTCCTTCGCTACGTTCTGAACTAATTAAATGCGATGCAATTTTTACGATTTAAAAAAAAACCTTCAAGATTAGTAGAGTGTCACGTGAAATAAAACGCAATTTCAATAGAGTTTCACGTGACATACGCGATTCATCACGACAACCTTACGTCGCTCGCAAAGAATGGTAGCCAGAGTTATTTTTTATGACTTTGTTAAATTCGCCACCCTGTATCACACCCTCTATTTTCATTATTTCTGAGAACGGTGAATTTTTTGATGTATAAATCCTATTTTATGTCACAATTTAATTCTTCGATAAAATTTTTATTCTACACTTTCAATGCCTTCATATCATATTAATAGTGATATTAACAATATTATCTTTGTAAAATTGTATTAAATCTTTACCTTGGATTGAGCCTGAGAAATATTTGGATTTGATTCGTTAGCGGTCATATAAGTAATTTCCATATTAGGATATTTGATGATATGAGATGACTCAGAAATTACAATATTGAAGAAATCAATATGATGATATTCGTGCATCTTCGATAATTTCGTTGCGAAAATGCGTGATACATGTTTAAAAATAAACCTTTAGTATTCGTAAGACTATCTAATCTTTCTATTGATATCAGGTGTTAGAAAAAGAATTATCAGCGCATAAGTGTATGTGATGATGATGATCCATCGGACGCTTTAGAATTAAATGTTGACTTATCCTTTATGAATCTAAGACTTAGCTTGATAGGTTTGTTTTAAAATCAGATTAGTGAAAGGGATCAAGGTATAACACGAATAGGCCTCACCATTAACATCTGATCCAACTAAGCGTAGGAATCCTTACACAATGTTCAATGTTCAATGCCACTTGACCATAGGATGCAGCATCAGTTCATGTTTCTTGGCATTAAGGTAAGTTCGTGTGTATAAATAGAAACATTCTATAAGCAATTAATTAAAATAATGACAATTTAATGTTTCTTCACAAGCAAATTATTTTTTTTTTTTAAAATAACATTGAAGAAATAAAATCTGCATTTGGTCGTAAGATATATTGTTAAAATATACAGAATAGGTATAAAAAAAAATATCGACATATAACACCATTTTTTATTTAAACTTAAAATATAAAATTACAGTAAACAATGGTATACTTTGGAAATCCAACGGTTATAAATAAATAATATATTTGCTTCTTAAGTAATATAATATATACATCATTAATTGTTAAAATAATCCAAACCAGCTGTTATATACCTTCCGTATTGATTTTTTACGTAAACACGAATTTCACTTTGATCAAATATCAACACTAGGTATAATTTGCTGTACCAAGATTTTGGAGCACTTATTTTAATATTAGCGATCAATTCAACCCCATAATCCTCGCAAAATTTAGGGTTCCTTAGATTTGTAGAGTAAAGTTCAATTGGAAACCTTAATCGATCTTCATGAGTTAACGATAACTCCAATCCAAATTCCTGATTTTCATGTGCTTCGGTACCTATTTTGACTATCCTTTTAAATACTCCATCTTGTTTAATGCCATAAGTCATGTTGATCACTCTTGTAGAAATTGAATTGGGATTTAATGCGTACTCAAGCGCTCCTCTTAGTACCGCAGTAATAGGTTGATTAGGAACAAAAATGTTTGAAACTAAATGTTGAAATTCTTGTTTAATACATTTTTGTAAATATTTCGATTCACTAAAACCTCCTACCAAAAAGATTATAACACAAGATTTATTAAAAGATAGTTGTTGATGAATTAGTAAGATGATGCGTTTAATGATAGGATCAAACATTTTTTTGATGTGATCATAATGGAATTTTATAATCCAATCATCCTTTTCCATTTCATCCTTATATGTTCCAACAACGTATTGTTTGATGTCTGGACAAATTTCTTCAAGGTTAATTTCACAAGTATTATAATCATCCATGTTTCCAGTAAACGAATGTTTAATTTCTTGACATCGTTGAATCAATAATTGTAATTGTTCATGATGTTTGGTTCGAAGTGAATTCAAAGCATCCGGACCAACTTTTATTGAGATATATACAAAAAATTTTCTATCCACGTAGATTGATCCACAAAATCCACAAGTACCCAAGGATTTTTCTGCCAATTTGTTGTTTGGTAAAAGTTGTCTCATAGTTAACTCCACCGTAGCACCACCGCAATTAACAACCAAAAAATGCGCTAAAATTGAATAATTAAAAAAAATATTAACATGAATGAATACATCTATGCATAATACGTTATGTAACATATACTAACACATTGGTTCAACCAATAAGTTTCCTCTCCTTATCACATTCATGCAATGTATAGCAGCTGCTTCACCTATTTACAATTAACGGTTTGATATAAATAAATATCGGTTTAATCACAATAATATATATATGCATATATATATATTTTTTTATCCTACTTTCTGAAATTGTTTGAATTGTTCCTTCTTCAAACGACATGTTATGTATAACATCCTTTATTCGATAAGAACATTTTGAAGGAACCGAAAGCAAGATTTTAAAATCCATTTCTGGATTTAAAGTTGATTTGACTAAAAGAAAAAAAAAATCGTTAGTAAAATTGATATTAGAATTGCAAATATTATAATCGTAGGCATACCTAATCCAAATAGATTATAAAAACAACTCCATAAAGTTGTAATATTATCACATTTAGAGTACACCGCAGAAGTAAAATCATAATCACAAACATTATGAAGTGACAAGGTATCGATATCGGTCTTTGGTGATTTACTCCGATCCGGCCAAATTTCATTGATGATGATCTCATTATTTGTCCTATTTGCGTATCCATATCCGGAGTACGTGGTTCCAATATCTTTTAATTAAAGTTTAAATGTTAATAATAGATTTATGCTCAAGTTGACGTTATTAGGGAAAAAAACAAATTACCCATCGAAGCAATCATTTGAAAATCATCGTAATCTTTGTCCAAAGTAGGAATCTTTTTCTTCACTACAATATCAGGGTTGCAGTTTTCTCTAGTCGTAGTATACCCGATTGACTTTAAAGGATATCTCTCTGCTTTATTATCGATAAATAATAACCTAACATGATAATATATGATACATATAATTAAATCAAGTTGAAAAAGTCTTGATCTATCGTAATTGAAATTAATGACCTGAACATCGAAAGAGTGACTCTCCCAGCCGGCCAATTTAATTATATTATTAGGACCATAATTTGTTGTTGAATGATCCGAATTAATAAAAATCCTATCCCCTTCTCCCAATTCAATTTTAGTGTTGATCTTACAAAAATAAGACCTTTCCGGTTTTATGATAATTGGGGTTTTAATAAAATCAACTTTAAAATCTCGATTATTTGGACTAAAAACCGACAATTCCGAAGGAATTCCGATAATCATCCATAACATACGACATTCCGATATTCTATTATAAGTAACATGGGAAGTTTTTATAATTGCCGAAAAACCATTAAAGTCATACATCCCAAAATTAATACAACAATTTTCCAATTTCACATCTCCCGAGAGGATCGAACCATAAACTTCATAATTTCTACTTTTCAGAGATGGTTCTATATTTACACGTTTAAAATGTTCAGTATTACTATTATCTAAATCTTTCAGGTCGGTGATTCCTGTCATTAAGATTTTAAGTTCATGTTGCATACTTAATAATTCATCTAATTCCTTAAAATGTCTGTACTTAATCCTAAGGAGATCAAATGTTGGAATTATTTGATCATATTCAATGATTTCTAAATCAGAGTAAGTGTCTTGAATTCGATTAGATATTTCATCAACATCTTCAACGTCGATGATGTCTCCTCCTTGCGTTAAAAGATATGACACGTTTAAATGATCTAAATGCGTCTTTAAGGACTCGGAATCAAAGGATTCCAAATTAATCTCATCAAATGTATCAGATGAAATATTCGGTATACCGCTATGAAAAGATCTTCCCAAGACGATTCTCTGTGGAAATAAATGCCCAAATTCATCAAAAGTATCTTGTAAAGATTTATATGGCTCTATGCTATTAATTGCTTTATCTATAGATTCTTCAAATCCCTTTGCGAGTTTGATATGAGCCTTATTTATGAGAATTTCATATCGTTCACATTTGACCACCAAACGAACTTGATCCTTGTTACCAAGATTACAGATCAAATATTTTTTAATGAACGGAAAAGATCTTGCATCTTTAACCGGAACGATATTATTAGTTATGAAAAATTGTTCTAAATTCGTTGCCGGCTTTAAAAGTTTCAAGTAAGATTTTTTAATTGTATTTATTACAGGTATATCGATGAACTTAACGGAAATCTTCTTGCTAATTCCCACCTCATAATTCTTATAAATCTTATTAAATGTTAAACCCTGAAGTTGAAGAAATAAATATGCGTGCTCCGCCCACCTCCTAAAACTTAATTTTTTCCCAAAATTAGCAACCCCGGGTTGTAATTCTTTGGGGATTGTATTAGGTCTTAATTTTTGAACGGGAATGATATCGTTATAAGAAATGATATCAAACATATTCTTGTGATATAGATTGCTCATCCATTCGATCAAATCTTGCTGGGATTTTATCACTTGCCCATTTGAGGTTTCTACTATCGGTAGATGACACCATTCGATATAACTGAATGGATTTTCTTTATTATATTTGACCGAATTATATATTCCAGTTAAATGGGATTGTAGGGTATCAATTTGTTTTGTACTAGCTAAATTGGAATTTTTGATAAATAATTTACCACCGACCAAAACTTTCCTTGCGAATACCTGACATGATAAAGGTAATTTTTCGTCGTCGTCATTTGAACATTTCGAAAAAGTTTCTATCAATTCCCCTTTATAACCTTTATAAGAGAATTCAGCAATTGGAAAATTAATACAAGCATCGGAAGGTTGTAAGTGCGAATTAAATCCAACATCATTGTTGAATCCGAATAAATTTGTGGGAGAATTTGGATCGTTTATATTCGTGTAAACTAATGGTTCCCCTTTATATAAGATTATATCCAACCCGCCATCATCTGTAAAAATAGCTTCATTGCTAGGTTGTATGCTATGCCCATCCGAGTATAAACCATGATTCAACTTTAGTTTTTGAACTATTTGTTGCTCCATTATTCGACCTGCCGCAGCAACTTCCGCAGTAAACGGTGATTTTGGGGGGAGAGTTTTATGAAAAATGTCTTTGTGAGAGATCTTTATATGTTTTCCCAAATTAAGGTTCAAAGAAAGTCATATGGCAAATCATATGGGTCACACTTTCGCCAAAACAAGAACACCGTTTGACATTTCACGTGATCCATGCCGTTCCTAAAACTTACGGTGTGGAGGCTTGATTGGTTAAATATCACGTGAACGCGAATATTCGTGTCACCTATCCTTTTTTTTATAAAATAAAAAATTAAACGACGATCCATTCTTTCCGGACAAAATGTTTGAATATAAATTTGATTATTCATTTAAGGAGAATGATTTTAGAGATATAATAGTAAATTACGCTCTTTCCGAATCTTCCACATCAATCAATTTCAATCTAAATATTAATGATGAATTATCAAAAATTCGCATTAAACTCCAAGAGAATAAATTTATTAAGAATCATCCGTTTTCATTTTCACGAAAACTTGATGCAACTAAATTAGTCGAAATCAATAATGAGGAGGAGGATAATGTTAGGTTAAGCGAGATCATTGAAGTAATTAATGATTCTGATAATCAAGTTATTTATTTATATTTAATAAAATGTTCGACCTATGATTGGAAAATTTTAAATGATTTGTGTAATTTAGATTTTGGGAGAACCACGACTCTTTATGGAAATAAGATCGCTGATGAGAGAGCATTTATAATGAAGGATTGTGAAATGATTAAAATTGGTGCTGTAGGATGTGATCATCGAACAATTGTAATTCAATCAGTTGAAGAACGGGTTATGATAGAAAATTTATTTTTTAGTAGCGATAATTATGTACATGATTTTATAAATTTGAGAACATTTGGTGAAAAGTTAAAAAATGAAGAAGCGAAATTCGAACAAAATCGTTCCTATCGTTTTACGGAATTTGGTAAGGTATCCTTAGAATTTTGTAATCATTTAGAGCCAACTCCAGAGTTCATTAAAGCGGTGGAAGATGCTTTAAAATCTAAAGAACCTATGAAACTTAAACAAATTATTGAGAGATTTGGTCAATTCGTTCCAACTAAAGTCATTTTGGGTGGAAGAGCTTATTATGAAGAGTTAAATAATTTGAAGGAATATTCCAAAGGAAATGATTATAAAGGTGGTGTATCCTCCAAAATCAAATCAGGAATCGTTTCTTGTCGATCTAAATGTTCAAAATTGATTGGAGGAAAACAACCCGTTAACCTTGAAGACTTTGATGAAAAGACTTGGATTAAATCTTTAAAAGATTTTAGAAATTGGGATTGCATAGAATTTCAAAACCCGATTGGAATTTTCCAACTTTTACCTGATAATTTACGTAAAAAAATAATTTCATTTTTAGGGAAAAGAATTCTTTATTCAATCATAGAAGACCGCGATTATCAGCTAGAAGAAATTGGATATCCCAAAGTCATTGAATTAAATATTCCAAAATTTATTTCAGAAATTATTCAAGACGAGGAAACTGATTGTAACATCTTTGCAACAGTTGTTGACATTGGTTGTGATTTTTATAATTCAAATGATGATTTTTTTAACTGTCAGGTCCTTCATTTGCCTGGTGCCGATCCAAGACTTTTAATTCATTGTATTCAAAAAGAAGTTAGAAAGCGTAAATGCAAAGTAAAAATCGGATGGATGGTTATCGGTTATTATAAAGATTTAAATTTCATCCTTAACGATTTTGATGTTCAATTGAAAACCATTGAAACAGATTGTAATTTCAACGCAAAATCCATTTATTTTAAGGAATATTTACATGATTCATTAAACAAAAAAATTCCTTGTATTGGAATTCCTGTTATAGACAGATTGGATTCTTCGAATAAATCTCTCGCCATTGGACATCATTTTTTCGATGATCAGGAAGAAGATAGAATTGGAACGTTCACATTTTCTTACTGCTTGGAGAAGAAACAATTCGTTTATTTACCTAAATTCAACTTTTATACACTTGCAATTTTAAATCATCACCCGAATACTTATGGTATATTACATTTTGAACAAAAACCATATATCGAACTTGATAATTCTTTAAAACCAAAGTATATTAGTTTATTTTCCACAAGCGAATATAATTGTGGTCCAATTTTTCTTCAACATAAATGTAATCGAATTGAAATGAAAGACGTTGATTGTATTTCACAAGAACAAATTGAATGTAATTTTTTTGATCCTTACGATAGGTATGTCTATTCCTTTTCTTTTTATTATTTTACGAGACTAATTAATCAAAAATACGTTAATTATTAGTGATGAGATTGAGGATATGTAAATTAGTATTATATTTATTTATTTATTGAACATTAGTTATTACAATAAATAAGTATACTGTATCAAAATTGTCGATTTAATATTATTTAAAATTCACGCATCATGGTTTACGTTGAAAGGTTTATATTAATGGTCAAGCCCAGCGTTTGCGAACAAAGTATGAATAAATACGTAGTTTTGACAACAAAAAAAATATATATAAATTTTACAAGGAGAAAATGCATTTCTTTGATTATACAAAGGCGAGTATCATTTCATGTAAAATTCAATAAAATAAATTTCTTTTTTATAATAAAATAAATGTATTATTTTTATTTTAATAAAGCTATAATGGATGGCCTTTTATCTTTATATATTTGAATTTTCAAGGATTTATTAAAACATACCAAGTGTTTAAAAGATTTATCAAATAGATAAACTTCTAAACTCCACCTGTAAAGTTTCGGACTATACCATTAGACGAATTCCTAAAATAGTTTCGCCTCAAACCCTAACTCTCGCCTGAATCATTAATAAATACTTAAAAAAACGCGTTTTGTTTATTCCAAAAAATTTTTTGCAGAAAATTTAAAGGCAAGCCTTTTAAGTAAGATCCAATAAAAATGATTTTCGTGTAACATTTATCTAAGGGTTCCCCGTCAACCATAGCCAAAATCCCAACATATTAGGGTATGGATTAGGGTTAGTTAGTTAAATATAAAACATAAGATTTGTCTGGATTATTTGCTTGTCAGGATTTATGCTTATCGGGTTTTCGTGATTGTCGGGATTCTGGTCATGTCGGTGATATGAACTTTCAGGCATTCGTTAGTGCGGGATTGGGATTATGCTGTCGGGATTCTAGACCGACAGGATTATGGTTGACAGGATTTCGTGATAAACCCGAAAATAACGTTATCCTCATAATACCTGTTGGTCATGGCCAAATGGCCAAAAATTCTTGCCGCGGCCAAATGCCAACTAAATATCTATAATATTTACACTATTTTATGTTTGTCATTTAAGCGTTGGCCGATTTGGTTTGTTGATTTGGCCGTGGCCAAATGGCCAAAAAACCTTTTGGTCACGGCCAAATGCCAACAATGATATGGGGCCTTTGCAATAAAGGGGGGGGGGGGGGGGGTGGGGCTTAGTTGTTTAAATTATATAATATTTTTATTTTAAAAATATATATATTTTTTGATATTTTATATATAATTATTTTTTATTTTTTTAATTATATGAAAATTTTATAA